CGACACACATACACACACACACACACACACACACATATTATACATATGTACATGCAAATAATTATAATTATGATATAGAAATATAACTATGTTATTCATTAATTGATCTAGCATCTAGTGAAAATGAAACCGAGGATGATGAAAGTAATGAAGAAGATGGAGAAGATAATTATGATGATGAAGATGAAGATGAAGATGATATAAGTGATATATATGATGAAGAAAGTAATTCTTCAGCACTTAAACGAGTTAAAAGAGATGAAAAGAAAGTAAGAAAAAAATAATTTAGTTTTTATTTTATATATACGAACTATTTTTATATAGTCTGCTATAAAAAGCTTTTTGAGATTATAATAAAAATATCAAATATAGAGTAGAGTAAAATCTTAAGTTGTTTAGATATGTTTACATAATATTTCAAGAAATTTCATAAATTTATATAATTCAATTCATTCACAGTTATTCACAAGTCTCCCTATTGATTTTGTTTTTATTCTTTTTTAAAATGCTATATTTTTTCACATGAAAAATTGAATATCCTTATTGCATGTATGCATGCTTGTTACATGTACATATACTACATGTTGCATGCGTGTGTACGTATGTACGTTTATGAAGTCATAAAACGTCAAATAAGTTTACTATATAGTTTACTATATTTTTTCAAATAGGCAGCATGTGGCTTATGCGTAGGAGTTGGCAGTTTTAGCGATCCACCGGAAATTCCAGGCATGGCACATTTTCTCGAACATATGGTTTTCATGGGATCAGAAAAATATCCACAAGTATTAAAATATAATCTGTACTGTATTATGAAGTTAACTTATTCAAATTTTTAAATATATCATTTTATCTTTAGGAAAACGATTTTGATGCATATATCAGTAAGCGTGGTGGTTTTACTAATGCTTCGACGGATTGCGAGCATACAACATTTTACTTTGATATTCAAGAAAAACATTTATTATCAACTCTCGATCGTTTTGCTCAATTTTTTATTAAACCTTTAATGAAGAAAGAAGCCATTACACGAGAACGAGAAGCTATAGAAAGCGGTATCTAAATTATAATCGTAATATTGATTATAATCTAATTACTGTAAATTTTATAGTTTTGATATATCATACTTATAGAGTTTCAGTTGGCTTTACCTAATGATGAGAATAGAAAAGAACAATTATTCTCCTCTTTTGCACAAACTGGTCATCCAGCTAGCAAATTTGTTTGGGGCAATTTAGTAACATTGCGCGATAATGTGCATGATGACAAATTATATGAAGAGTTACACAAATTCAGAGAGCGTCATTATAGCGCTCATAGAATGAGACTGGCTGTACAAGTAATCAAAGTTTTATTAATCTTGTTCAATTAAAAGTTATTGGTTTCCTATTAAATACAGTTAATTTATGATATGATATATTTAATTATAGGCGAGATTGCCGCTAGATACATTGGAAAAATATGTCACAATGTGCTTTGCTGATGTACCAAACAATGGATTGCCTCCTAGTAATTTTATTGAATTTAAAGGTGGTGTTTCTTTTGATACTCCTGCTTTTCGAAAAATATATAAAGTTAAGCCTTTCAAAGATGTCAGTCAGGTATGCGCCTAAAATTGTTTGTGACGAATTAGTTTATGATATTAATAAGCTGCATAGAAATATTTTATTTAACTTAATAATACTATAGGCAAAAATTATTTCTTTTTTGTGGAAAATAAATTAAAAATTTTACTTTTAGTTAAGAGTTCTCTTGTGATATTAGGTATACAAAAAAAGTTCTGAACTTTAGATTTCATACAACCGAAATAACAATT